AATAATCCACTGCTATGTATCGACTGAAATGGTAAGATGATGTATGACTGATTCGAATTCGGTCTATAGAGGGGACTCAACCAAGACAAAGTTCAAGTACACTATTTATATACATACTTGCATGAAGGTATCACCAAAGGGTACCTGTGTACAGGATAGATGTCGAGGAAGTAAGGCGGCGTGACAAAATATAGTGTGTTCGCATCAATCGACACTATCACGCTGTATGAAGGGAAAATACGAATAAGAACAGCATGAACTAGGAAACAGCTGCTATTCTGCCTCCGGTTAGAAAAGAGGAGTCAGTACTAGAAAGTTTCCGTATATTACAAAGCGAGGACTGATGATTTGGAAAAACCTTCAATCCGCTGCTAGATATTACTAGTTAAATTAATCATTGAAACCTAGATTAGCTATTGATATAAGGGCAGGTGCCGTGCCGGATTTCAACCACAGTTGGTGATTCGTGCAGTGCTTACCAGTGCACACGTGAGTCGATGGCAGGAACATTTGTGAATTGCTGTGGCTAAAGCAAAATATGGCAAATTTCGACAGCTCTAGTTACAAACATCTTTGCGACATGTGTGTGATTATGAGATAATAATGTTGGGGAATTCATTTGCGTGTTTGACAAATGGAAACTGTGAATTCTGGGTGCACTTTACAAATGTTCAGTCTATTGTAGGATTTTGCAAAAATACCACTTTTCTACTCGTTATGTCACATGGCCTGATGTGTGGGAGTCAACATTGACCTTTTGAGCTTGATGCGAAACAAAACGTACGCAACATAAATTGGGTTGCCACTGTTTTGAACTGGTTACCAATACTTGTGATCTGCAGATTCTAGGGGGTGGTGATGCATGTCTGCATACTAAGTAGACAAAAATGCAAGCACGCAGAAGGTGGAGGTATGAGGACAGACGACCTGAATGGCTAAGGCGACTGAGTCAACACACTCGTGTTGTGTGTGTATGTGTGTGCGTGCGTATGAGCATCCAGTCTGTCTGATGGAGGTCACCATGGTGTGAGTCAGTGACTGTGTCCACAGCATCATGTGCTGAAGATGGGCGAGAGGGTTACGTTGATCTGTGAACAGTTCAAGCCTTTGTTATCATTGATCCAAATCGAATGGTATTTCATTGCATTGGCGGTATCAGGATGGCCTCACGTGTTTATTTCTACAGATGCATCTGTTGTGCATTTGCACAAGTCGAAAGTGATTAATGATTTCTTGTGCACAGCAAAGTGATAAAAATTTTGTGACAGAAATTGCGACTGCCAAGCCATTTCACTTTGTCATTAATGTCGCCATCTCAGTTTAACCACGAAAAGAAATAAATCTGCATCTGTTTAGCAAAAATTGGTAGTTAAATAATTTGCTAAGAATGCAATATTTCCATGCATTGCAAGTAGAGCTATTGAGGAGGATAGCAATGACATCCCCATCCGGCATGACTGCTATTTCGAAGCAAGTTTTGGGAGAGACTTCCTTGACGTACATGCTCTCAAATGCTCAATCGTGGTTGACAACCTACTCGCGTTATTGGGTTTATTTAGGACTCAAGCCCAAGGCAAAATGCTAAGTTAAATCGCGTAAAATGAAAACGTTGTAATGCTGGTCCCGCGTTCCCAATGGGCTAAATAGGATGACTAGCTACTTGCCAGGATGTGCTTCTCCCATTCACCATCGCGCAAAATTAGACCATTTAGTGGCGTTGCCAATTTATTTTAACATTATTTAACGTTATCTCATTACTGGATAACAACAAGTAAATCCACAAAGCAAAAAAAACAATATTTTTTGTTTAATTTTGTGATATCCGATTTTACCCTTTTTAAAATGAAGTTATTAATTAGCAGAGAATAACTCTGATAATTTAGACTTCGCTATAATAAACGTGTAACAACGTCATTCAGCATGCAACGAGGAAAAAACTTAGTGATAAGAATATTGAAAGCAGTCATCTGCAAATAATTAATCAGCGATGCTTTGTCAGTTTGTTTTGATTTTTTTGTCTTGACCTACGTACACTATCCAAAACACCGCGCATTTAAAATAGGCTGGACTGCGTCTGCTAATTCTAATCACCCCTGCTTTACACGCTGTTAGCACACAAAAAAAGCATCATATAAAATCCAAATAAGGGCAAATTTCGTTGCCTTTTTAAGCGAAATGGCTAATCTCTTAACGGTCCGTTGTTCATGGCCAAATATTCGCATTAAAATGTCTACCCTTAACAATTTACAAGTAAAATTATTCCAAACTTCTACCAAGAGAAATATTTTTTGCAACTAATCGAGAGTCCATACGTTATTGAAAAATTGGGCCAGTAGCATTAATTCCTATAATTACTTAAAAAATATGCTTGCTTTTAAGTGCGGAAAATTCGTTGTTGATGTAAAAACGAATCTGTCTTGCCTACACATTGCAATGTGGTGAGCAATTGCTTCTGCGTGTCTTTATATTCTTACATTTGCCTAACTGCATGACATTTATT